GGGATCCAGACGAGACGGCATCGCTTCCAGCAAGCTGGAAACGTGCGTTCGTCCAGACACCTGTTGTAAAGTCGCGCCAGTTTGTCGTCCGTTGCCTTCAGTATGTATCTCGCCGCCTCGTTGGGTATTTTGTCTGTTCCGGTCGCTTTGTGTTTTTGTAGTCCACTCACAATGTTGTGTATTTCTGTCATCGTTATTATTGGTTCGGTGTCCTGTTTGTATTCGTGTTTTGTCGCTCTTATTTCCCGCATATCCTCGTTGTCGTCCTCTGGTGCGTCCTTCGGGAAATATTTCCGCACAAGGTATTCCTGTTTGTCCTCCTCTGTCTCGGTATATGTCCCGTCGTCCTTTCGTATCGTTTTGTTTATGTCTGTATGTTTTTCCCCGCCAGGATGTTCCAGGCTTTGTGCCATGTGGCGTTCTTCAGTGTGTCCGTGATGTCTTGGTCGTAAGTCCGCTGTCTCCTTTCGTTGATGAGCTTCTTGTATTCCCGTCGGTGTTCACTGTATTGTCGTTTCCTTGCGTCTCTTTCGTCGTCGTCTGTTGTTGCTTGTAGTTCCCTTCGTTCCCTGTTGAGCTGTTTCCTCTGTCTGTCCAGTGTCTCGTTCCACCATCCTGTCTCGTCCCCTTCTCGTAACGTCTTTGTCCTAATGTGTCGGCGACATGCTTGACTGCAGATCTTGTCAAAGCTGTCCGCTATGTCGTCGACACTCCGGTCCCAGTCTAGTTGGTCGGTTTGTAGTTTTATTTGGTCCTCGTAGCGTGTCCAGTTTGTATTGATAAAGTCATAAGTGGTCCTTTTGCGTTTAGTTGTCGTGTGTTCAATGTCTATTTCGTATGTTATGTATTTGTGGGCCGAGAGCGTCTCGTCTGCGTTAACCGTCCAGTTTGTAGTGCGTAGGTTTTTTGTTAATGTCATGTCTACGTAGCTGCTTCCCATCGGTCCTTGGAATGTAGGTTGTTCGTGTTTTTTGTTTTCCAATATGTAGCCGTTGTCTATAGTCCAGTTGATCAGGTCCTCTCCGCGTTTGTCATTAACGTTGCCGCCCCATATGTCGCTGTGTGCATTGATGTCTCCGCACAGTAGGTGTTGTCTAATTTGTGTTGTGTGTTCGCGCTGTTTTCTGTCGTATTCCTCTAGTCTCTTGTTTTTGTTCCCCCCTGGTTCGTCGTATATGGATGTTAGGTACGTGATGCCCGCTTTGTTGTTTATTCGTATTGTCGTTGTGTTGTCGTTCGTAAGTTCCGTTATTATCGTGTAGTCTATGTTGTCCTTTATCCATATTTCGGTCTTTGAGTTCCGTCCGTTGTTGAGTTTTTTCATTTTGTTGGTCGGTCTGTACGTTGTGTATGGTTCTTGCAGCATGACGATGTCTATGTCGTGGTCGGTTTTGTATTTGTCTAATAGTGCTGTCGCCGCCTTCCCTCTGTCTACGTTGATTTGTAGTATTTTCATGTCTGCCTGTTAGTGTTGCTTCCGTAGTTAACGTTTGTCTGTTGGTACTGTCTAGCTTTTCTTTGGTAGACAGGGCATAGCCTGTCTCTCGCCGTGTGGTGTTTCATGTCTCTGGGCGTTCCCTGTGATGCGCAATTTGGGCAGTCCGGATTGCCTGACGTACATTGTCGACCCTCGTGGGGCCCCCCGCACACATGGCACCTTGCCCGCTCGGTGCAGTATTTATACGGGTGTCCGAACTTGTGGCACTTGAAGCACAGTGCCACATTCACCTCCTTCCTTATATATATTTCCGTCAGGTCTATGTATATCTTCCCTCTTTTAACCATGGTCCTGAATGCCTCGGGCGTTGCTTCCATGGTCACATTCTCCTTTGATTGGTTAATGCATGTTGCCCTCCTTACCACTTTCAGTTTGTCTTTAATGTTGTCTCCCAGCTCCTGTTGCAGTTCCTTGTTTTCCGTGATTATTGCGTCCATAAGTTCGTCGTCCGTATATCCCTTCATTACACCCGTGATTAGTAGTTTCGGGTTTGTCCTTTGTAAAGGTTTAATTTGTAGTTCGGGTCTTGTCTTGATTTTGTCGTCTATTAATTTCTGTTGTGTCCTGTCTTTGTAGTGGATTGCCAGCTGTCCCGCATTGGTTTTGGCGAAACCCCGGATTCCGCCCGTTTGCCTTGCCTCCTCTTGTGCTGTCTCTTTGATTGTTTTTATTATGTCCGCGTGTCTCTGTCCCTCTGGTACCTGAACTAGAGTCGTCAGCCTGTCCTTCCTCTCTGGTGTCTTCCATCCGTCCGTCGTGTCTCCTTGACTGTTTCCTTGTCCTATTGCGTCGGCGTAGGTTTTCTTTGTTCTGTCCTGTCGAGTCCTTCGTTTTTGCGCCCTCCACTCACCTTCGGTCTCCGTGTCCGTTTGTGTATCTGTCATAGGGACATTGTCCGTGCGTGGTCTATCGTCTGTCTGACCCGTTTTTGTCCGTGTGCCTTCCTTTGTCCTGTTTTTTTTCTCCGTGGTATTGCCTTTCATTGTGTCTGCCATTCCGTCCTTTTTTAATTCTCTAATCTCCCTTGTCAGCGCCTGCATCTCGCGCTTCTGCTCCTCAATCTGACGTGCTATTTGGGTGAATGATATTGTTGTTGGCCTGGATTCCCTCCTGGTGTCCTGTTAGATCTCACCCATTAGTTCCAGCACAATGTCCGTCATTTCATTCACCCTTGCAATAACTGTCTCCCTGTCGTCCCTATTGAATTGCACCTTCCCGGAGGTGTACCTGCTGACCGCTCTCAGGATGTCCTGTTTACAGGCTACCACCTGCCCCACCTTCTGTGCCCCTCCTGTTGTTGTCTTCCTCTGTCCTTGCTGCCCTATTTGGTTGTCCGAGCTGTCCATCCCGGACTCCCACCCTGCGACACTTGTCTGTCCTGGTCCTGCCTCATCCTCATTCAGGATCTCTCCTACCTTGGCTATCAGACTCGCCACCTTTTCCTGCTGCTGCGGACTTAGTTGTTTTGCGGGAGACCGCTTCTCTGCCTCCATCCGCCCCTTTTTATATATCCTCACTGGTGACCTTGGCACGGACTGACGTCTGGGGTACACGGGGCACAGTCTGTCTCTTGCCGTGTGGTGTCTCATGTCCCTGGGCGTTCCCTGTGACGCACAGTTGGGACAATCCGGACTGCCCGACGTACGCTGGCGACCCTCGTGGGGCCCCCCGCACACATGGCACCTTGCCCGCTCTGTGCAGTATTTATATGGGTGTCCAAATTTGTGGCACTTGAAGCCTCTCCCTTATGTATATCTCACTGAGATCTATGTAAATTTTCCCTTTTTTCACCAGGGTCCTGAAGGCCTCGGGTGTTGCTTCCATAGTCACGTTTTCTTTCGTCTCGTTTATACAAGTTGTCCTCCTCACCACTTTCAGTTTGTCCTTTATGTTGTCTCCCAGTTCTTGTCGTAGTTCCTTGTTTTCTGTGATCATTGCGTCCATCAGTTCGTCGTCTGTATACCCTTTCATGATACCCGTAATCAAGAGTTTCGGGTTTGTCCTTTGTAGCGGTTTGATCTGTATTTCCGGTCTTGTCCTTATTTTGTCGTCAATCAGTTTCTGTTGTGTCCCGTCCTTGAAATGAATTGCCAGCTGTCCCGCGTTGGTTTTGGCAAAGCCTCGGATTCCGCCCGTTTGCCTTGCCTCTTCTTGTGCTGTTTCCTTAATTGTATTTATTATGTCCGCGTGTCTTTGTCCTTATGGTACTTGTATGAGCGTCGTTAGTCTGTCCTTCCTCTCTGGTGTTTTCCATCCGTCTGTCGTGTCTCCTTGGCTGTTTCCTTGTCCTATTACATCCGCGTAAGTTTGTTTTGTTCTATCCTGTCTTATCCTTCTTTTTTGTGCTCTCCATTCACCTTCAGTCTCCGTGTCTGTTTGGGTTTCTGTATGAATATTGTCCATGCGTGGTTGATTATTTGTCTGTCCTGTTTTTGTCCGTGTGCCTTCCTTTGTCCTCATGTTTTTTTCTATGTTGGTGCTCTTCTGTATGTTTGCCGTTCCATCCCTTTTTAGTTCCCGTATCTCCTTGGTTAMAGCMTGCATTTCCCGCTTTTGTTCGTSTATTTGTCGTTCGATCTGGGTGAATGAAATTTTAGGCCTATTCTCCCTCCTGGTATCCTCATAGATCTCACCCAGTAGTCCGAGCACGATGTCGGTCATTTCATTCACCCTTGCCATCACTGTCTCCCTGTCCTCCCTGTTAAATTGCACCTTTCCCGAAGTGTATCTGCTAACCGCCCGTAGTATGTCTTGCTTGCAGGCTATCACCTGCCCTACCTTTTGTGCCCCTCCTATTGTTGTCTTTCTTTGTCCTTGTGTCCCTGATTGATAATCCGAGCTCTCGATCCC